CGGGGATTGAACTCACAACCAGTTGCTTGCAAGGCAGGTGCTTATGCCCCTGAGATAAATTCCCAGCCCCTAGGGTACTTCTTAACCGAGAGGCTAGCATGTATACCACGCTCTGAGGCAGGTAGAGGGTTGGGAGCCTGGGGGTCAAAGAATGTTCTAGAGGCCTCCAACCCCAGTCCAGAGTCTTCCTGCTCACTGATGCCCCAGGCGGGCTGCACTGGTCTAAGATCCAGCCAGTCCTTCCCCGGTGCTTTCAGGCCCCTCCCAGATCCGAACGGCCAGGGGCCAAGACTGGCGTGAGGGCCATCACTGTCCCTTAGGGCCTGGAACTCGGAACGTGCAAGGCAGGAGAGTCTGCCTGCCTACCGCTGACGTCACGCGCACGGAGGGGCGACCTGCAGCTTCTCGTCCTGCACAGCTCCGACGAGAGCAAATGGGAGCCTCGCAGACCCCATCTCAGACTCCTCCAGACACTCAATATTGGCCACACAAACTCCTACCATAACAGCTACCCTGTTTACCCACTATTCCAGATCCCCCTCCCATGCCCCTGACCCTTTCAAAGGCCTCTCAACCCCATTCCTCCGTGAACACCTCCAAAGCCATTCAGCGCGCGCAGCCCCTCACCTGTAGAAGGCCGTGTTGACCCTCTTCTCACCGGGGAAGCCCAGCATCCCGCAGATCACGTGGCTGTTGTGGGCGCTCCAGCCTTTGTCGCACACTTTGGACCAGCCTTCAGGAAGCCTGACTTCAACCAAACCCTCAGTCACAGGTAGGGGTCGCCTGCCCCACCCAACGGCTGGTCTAAGTCGCACCTCCTCTACTTGCAGATGATGCTCTACCTGGGGATGGGACCAAAGCAGGGGAAGGAATCCCAGTAGCATCTCTCACGTGTTCTGGCATCCTTAAGGAACACTGAGTGTGCTTTCTGTAAACTCAGGTGTGGGGTGGGACTGAGGCAGGGCTGAGGAAGATTCTACGTTTGCTGTCAGTCTGGGCTGTGTTGGCTCTCCTGCAGTCAGGAGTGGAGACAGGATCCACTGTGCTTGGAGACACAATCAGGAGTGGGAAGAACCCGTCTCTGCCCAGAGTAGAAAGGAGCATTTTACAGAAAAAGTGGCTTTAAGGAGGGGGAAGATGTTCCAGAAGAACATGAGCATAGCCAGAGAGGGCACTGGATGCGTGTGTGTGTGTGTGTGTGTGTGTGTGTGTGTGTGTGTGTGTGTGAGGAATGAAGGTGGAGAGGCCTATGCCAAGTTCAGAAACCTGACAGCTCATACTGAAGAAAAAAATCTTTGGCTTTTACAACTCTATCATTTGATCCCCTCTTCTAAGACTCTCACCAATCCAAACAATATCCCATTGGGTCGTGTGGGATCTCCTACCTTCTAAGATCTCCTCTAATCACCTATAGCCACCCTTACAGCCCTTTTGCCTGGCCTTCCTGGGTGAATAGTGTTTGCGCATGCAAGCATTTACTGCAGACCTCGATGACATTGGAGTCCGAGAAGCCTGGGAGGCGCTGGTCCTTGCAGATGACCCCGGCATCCTCATCGTGGGTACAGTCACTATTCCCCCAGCCCCGGGAGGCACATTCAGTCACACTCTGCTCAGTCCCACGGCAGCTCAGGTTGTCCAGCCAGATGCGGCCTATGAAAGGGGATATGGGGGGACAGAGAAGCTTGGGGAAGAAGGATAAGAAAAACATAGGGGCCTCACACCTGGCCATGACAATGATCCTCAGAGTCTGGCTGGAAAGGGAGTGGAGAAGGTACAAGGGACCCTAGAGAGGAACAGGAAGGGGGACATAAAATTGATGGAAAGTTGATAGTGATCTGGGGATACTGAAGAATAGGATGAATTAAAAAAAAAAACCCAAGAATCAACAGTTAAGTTCTGATCATTCTTACCCATTCAGTGATAGCTAATGAAGTACCTATTGTGTGCCAGGCAATCTGCCCTAGCGTGTACACTTAATCATTCTTAGAGCAGAGCTGCCAGAAGACCTTTTTATATGAGTAGACTGGGTTTCAGAGAAATAACTTGCCTAAGACCACACAGCAGATACCTGGAGGCTTAGGATTTTGCCCTGTCTATAACACTTTGATACCCAAGACCCTTTCACCTCACCCTGACATATTCCCATGTGCTAATCCTGTCTGTGCTGCCATGTATCCTCCTGTCATTTCTGCATGGATCATATTGAATATCACTGACTTCCTCTTAGCATTGGGTGGGACCTCTACAGTTTAGACTTTGATGCCATCCAGAAGAACCCCTCGGTCACATGACTGTTCTTCCCATATTTGAAGATGACTATTGGGTAACTGCAATCTGAGTTTTTTCCTTTTTTGTAACAAGCCTCTTATTTCTTCAGCTATCCTTTCTGGTTTTTGAGCCTTTCACATCTGAGCAGCAGTCCCTGCAAAGAGAGAACGAGCTACTTTCTACTGTCCCTCTTAACATGTAGCTTCTACAAGTGACACTTTATTCCAGAGGTGGTTTAGCAGATGGGAATGGGGGATTAGCTACAGCCTGCAGCCACTTCTGTCCATCAGTGGGTTCATGTGGTGAGAGCATCTCAGTGAGGTCGGTACTTAAGTATCTCCTGCACCCCCGAACTTATCCTAAGTTGTTTCCAGCTTATTAGTTTACCTGGACTATAATCTGATATTGTTAGCTATGGTATCTGTGATGCTTTGTGGCTTTGGGACACCTACACATTATTTACCTGTTCTCAGCTTGCCTTGAACCCAATTGTATTTTAATCATATGGAGTCATCTGCATGTGAGAAGCCCTTGTACATGGTTTTGTAGAACCATATGTTTGCAGCAGAAAAGACTTTAGAGATCAACTAGAATTTGTGCACACGGTGAGTTTGATGCTCACAGAATGCACTGACTAGCCTAAGATCACGCAGCTGTAGTATTAACTATATTGGCTGATTTGACACTGGCTGTTCCTCATGTCCTATGTCCTTGTGACTATGTTATTATGCTGTTCTTTCTCTTTTTGCAGTTAGACTGAAATTAGGTAATATCTAGGCCATGCCTGGAGCATTGCTCACCTGTTCCAGGGCCATATTTGGCACTGTGGGTCCAACCTGTGGCCTCTGTGAAGCCCAGTTCCCGACAGAGGACGTGGGCAGCCTGCAGCGTGAAGTCATCATCACAGATGGTGCCCCATTCACCAGCTCGCTGTATTTCCACTCGACCCTCGTAGGGCTTCCTAGGGAAGCCAGCCAGCCGGAACCGTAGCCCTTGGCTTCCTGTCTTCTTGTCGGGGGCCGTGGAGGGAGCTGGAGATCCCAAGCACCAGCTGCACAGCTGGCACAGTAGCAGCCCCCATGGGCTCCACTGCCAGACACTGACAAGTCTCATGGCAGGGGAGGCCTGGATGGGGGATGGGGAGAGAGAGAGACAGAGAGAGACAGAGAGAGACAGAGAGACAGAGAGAGAGAGAGAGAGAGAGAGAGAGAGAGAGAGAGAGAGAGGAAGAGAGAGCTTCAGGAATCAAGAGAGCAAAAGAAAGAGAAACACACACTGAATGAGGGCAGAAGTGAAATTCTAAGAGGCACAGCCTTAGATTGGGGGTGGGAGGGGGGCTCTCTTTCCCCTTTTGTCAATAATAAAACTTTCATAATTAACAGTTATGTTCCACAATGTCCTTCCCTAGGTCTGCCATTTGTTGCTTGTTTTTTGAGACAGGGTCTGCCTATGTAGCCCTGGCTGGCCTTGAACTGTGGCAATTCTTCAGCATCAGCCTCCCAAGTGTCGGGATAGGGATGTGCACAGCCACACCTGGCTAGTTCTGCATCCTCATCTCCATTCACCCCCACTTAGCTTAAGAGACTCGAAGATGAAATGGCAGAGGTTAGAGACCAAGTTGGAGAATAGTCAAGATAAAGACTGAGCAGAGACATAGAGAGGAAGAACCGGACAGGACGTGAGAGGAAGGGAGACTGTGGGATTGAAGGGATAAAAACAAAGACTAGGAGACAGGTTGAAAATGGCTAGAAAGAAACAGCACGTGTATTGAAGAGTGAGAGAGAGGGCAGAACACGTGTGAAGATGGAGTGACAGGAGCTGAGCACAGCCTGGGAGAGGTCTAGATGACCCCATTTAGCCAGCTGATGACAGAAGGCTGTTCTGATCCTTGAGAGAGCCAGGCGAGGGGGCCTGTGGACCTGAATGGGAGCTCTACAGGGTAGAGTCCCAGGCAGGAAGGCAGACACCAAGGAGTGCTGGAGAAGCCGCTGCTGGCCTGCTCCCAGATGCCCGCAGGGTCAAGGGGCCCCGGAGGGCTAGGCCTCACGCTGGGCAGCGGGTGAATGGGGTGGGGTTGTCTGAACTTCTTGCCAACACTTCGGCTGGGCTCACTATGGCTATCAGCTTGTTAGCCAAGGCCTTCTCTGGCTAGGACTGAGAACAGCCCCTCCACAGCAAGGGGGCCCTCTGAACATGCTTCCCCCAGCAAGCGGCTTAACAAGACAGCTTTGTTCAGGGCACTCTGTGGCTTGGGAGTCCAGGGGTAGGGCCTCATGAAGGGGTCCCCCGGCCTTGGGCCCTCCTCCCAGTCTTAGAGGGAATATCCTACAGCCCCCCTCCCTGTCTGCTTCTCCCTTCACCCTTCTGTCTCTCGCTCTCCTCTGACAATATTAAAAGCTCAGTTGGTTGGCTCCCCCGACTCCATCCCTGATCATCCCTTTTTCCTGGTCGTCCCTCAACCATCCTCTCCATCCCCAGCTCCCCTTCTTCAAGCCAGCAGTATGACTCCCCTACCTTTGGCGGGGCAGGGCCCTAGGGGCTGGGAGAAGAGTCCTGATCCTCGAGATAAGTCCTAGGACTTCCAAAAAAAAGTGTTCGGCCAGGGGAGAGCGGACCCCCTCCCTCCCCCCTCTCAGTTCGTCCCTCCCATGTCCCCTTGAGCCCTCCCACATTCCGCTTTCTCCCTCCATTCCTCACTGGCCAGTTCCCTCCTCTCTAGGTCCTCCCCTCCCCCGTGGAGCTGGCCTCGGCCGCGCCGCCTCCCCCTTTCCCCTGACCCTCCCGGCTCAATGAAGCTTTCTTCGCCCGCAGGTTGGAGGCCGGGCAGCTGCGGTCAGGGAGCTGGACTTTGAAGCGGCCATGGACGACGGAGCGGCCTGGGCGGTGGCCCCCGTGGCGGCAGAAATCCTTCCAGCCCCCTGCCCTTTCCGCAGATCCCCGGCCAGGCGGGATGTACAGTTCTACTCTGGCTGGACCTCGGGCGGGTCCCGCCAGGGGACTGAACTTCGAGAGTCTGTTTGGCCCTGCGGGTGCCCCGGGGAGCCGGCAAGTGACGTCACGACCTTCACTCTGACGTCACGCAGAGTCCGTGATGTCACACGCAGCCCAAGGCCGGGGCGCCAGGGCTGGAAGCACGAAGTTTCCCCGGGTGGAGCCCCTCTGCGCTCCAGGGCGGTGGGGCGGGCCTGCGGATTTGGGGACCCTTCCTCTTTTCCTCCTTGCGCTCTCCCCGCCCTCGGACTGCCCGAGGCGGCGGCGCGCGGAGGGGAAACGCCCCCGCCAGGCCGGCCCCGCCCCGGCCCCGCCTCCGGCCTGCGCCCTCAGGGCCAGGAAGCGCCGGAGGAGCCGCCCGGGGACATGGACGGGGCTGTGATGGAAGGGCCGCTCTTTTTGCAGAGTCAGCGCTTCGGGACTAAGGTAGTGGGAGGCAGAGGATTCCCAGCCCCGAGAGGGCCAGAGGAGCGTGAAAGGGTCCCGAAAGAGGGCGGGGGCGGGGGGTGGGAGAGCCGCCAGCGTCCCCGCCAAGTTGGTCGGAAGCTCTGGAGAGTATTAATGTGTAGGGTCGGTTGTGACCTCGTTGGTGCTACAGAGACTGAGTGGCGTCTTGCTTCGGTTTGGGGAACTTTGCCCCCCTTAGGAAGCTCAGGACCCGCACTTGGCCGGCGCCGTTCCCTCCTTTCCCCTCCGGGCTCGTGCTGCGCGCACTCTCGCTACCGCCCCCGCGTCTCTTGCTCTGTCCCTAGAAATGGAGGAAGACGTGGGCCGTGCTGTACCCGGCCAGCCCCCACGGCGTCGCGCGGCTCGAGTTCTTTGATCACAAGGGGTCGAGCTCTGGAAGTGGTCGAGGGAGCTCGCGCCGCCTGGACTGCAAGGTGATCCGTCTGGCCGAGTGCGTGAGTGTGGCTCCGGTGGCCGTGGAAAGCCCCCCAGAACCCGGCGCGGCTGCCTTCCGCCTGGACACTGCGCAGCGCTCACACCTGCTGGCGGCGGACGCGCCGTCCAGCGCCGCCTGGGTGCAGACGTTGTGCCGAAATGCCTTTCCGGTGAGGGAACCCGCGAGGGGCTGGGACAAATGGCACTGGGCGTTGCGGCGGCGGGGCAGTTACAGCAGCCATGCAGTTGGCTGGCCCAGGATCCCTAGCCTCCTCCCTAGGGCCTTACTGAGGGAATTATAGGGGCCCCGATTATTTCTTTTTCATAGAAAGGAAGTTGGGCTCTGGCGCCATTCACGGACCCACCTAAGCTTTCTGCTTTGGAGATGCTGGAGAACTCACTGTACAGCCCTACGTGGGAAGGTAGATGCTTGAGGAGTCCGGTGGCCCCAGGGAATGGGAAGGAGCGCTCTTGGGGAGTGGGTGATTAGAGGGTGCAGGACTTGTGAAGTTCCTGGAGTCTGACTTCCAAATGAGTTTTCAAAAACCCTGCCCTGGAGTCCTCAGTGTTCTCACCCCTGCCCCCGAGTGCATTTCCACCCAGGTGTCTGTCTAATTGTGTACTCCTTCCAGGATCGCAGTTCTGGGTCACTGTTCAGAAGACAGAGGCCTCTGAGCGCTGTGGCCTGCACGGGCCCTATGTGCTGAGGGTAGAGGCTGAGAGGCTGACTCTCCTGACCTTGGGAGCCCAGGGTCAGATTCTGGAGCCACTTCTTTCTTGGCCCTACACTCTGTTGCGCCGCTATGGCCGAGACAAGGTACAGGGGCTGCCAGGGAGGATGGTCTGGGAGGGCTTTCTGGGTTGGACAGCTGAAAGCCAGTCGGGGCAAGACAGGAAGGCAGGAAGTTCTGCCCGCTGGATCCCTCTTTCCTTTCACCCTCCCTGACCCAGTTTCTAGCCCCAGGCAGTCCATCTGCAGAAGTCTTTACTATTTGGGCCCTGTGACTCACCAGTTCTGACCTCTGGTAACCTATACCCTCCATACCTTCCTCAGGTCATGTTCTCTTTTGAAGCTGGTCGCCGTTGCCCTTCTGGCCCTGGAACCTTCACCTTCCAGACTGTGCAAGGAAATGACATATTTCAGGCAGTTGAGACTGCCATCCGTCAGCAGAAGGCCCAGGGAAAAGTGGGACAGGGGCAAGATATCCTCAGAGCTGACTCCCATGAAGGGGAGGTGGCTGAGGGGAAGTTGGCTTCTGCCCCTGGCTCCCAACAGCTCCAAGGCAGCACCCCAGCCCTGTATGCTGAGCCCTTGGACTCCCTGCGCGTTCCTCCAAGTCCTTCCCAGGACTCCTTGTACTCAGACCCCGTAGACAGTACCGCTTCTCGGGCAGCAGAAGACATTCAGGGGAAGAAACGTCTCTACTGGGATCTGTATGAGCATGTGGAGCAGCAGCTGCAGAAGACCAAGCTGACAAATACCAAAGAGGACCCCATCTATGATGAACCTGAGGGTCTGGCCTCAGCCTCTGCCCGTGGCCTTTACGATGTGCCTCAGGAGCCCAAGGACGCATGGTGGTGCCAGGCTCGGGTGAAAGAGGAGGGTTATGAGTTCCCCTACAACCCTGCCACTGATGACTATGCTGTGCCACCCCCTCGGAGCACAAAGCCCGTCCCAGCTCCCAAGCCCCAGAGTCTGGCCTTCCCTGAACCTGGTACTACAGCTGGTAGCGGCAGCAAAGGCCACAGCTCAGACACTGTATTGTATAGCCAGGTCCAGAAGAGTGGAGTCACAGGGGGCTGGGACTGTGGGCTCTCTAGGACGGGTACTGACAGGACTGGGGTGAAGTCAGAGGGCTCCACCTGAAAAGGTAGCTGATAAGAGGACCATGGGAAGGTGGTGCTAGAAAATCCTGTCAGAATGTGCAGGACCCAGAGCGGGGAGGCCCCTCTCTGGAAGTCCTAGGAAGTGGAACAGGTGGCAGGAGAAGGCATGAGCTCGAGGGAACACAGCACCCTTAAGCCACCCTTCTCCCAAAGGAACAGACAGCTGCTGGACTACCAGGTCTTCAGAAAGGGGTATTTGGTCAGACTGGGTACAGTTCCAGGGTCTTGAATGAAAATTGCCTGGATCCTTATACCTCCCTGCTTTGTTCTTTGCCAGAGATATATTTTAAAAACTTTAAAGATTTGCATTAAAGTCAGTTTGGGTTTAAGAGGCTCTGTGTGTGAATAGGCACAGAGGAGACACACTGGCAGGGTATGCTGGATGGGTATGTCGGGATCAAGAGAACCAGAATGTGCGGGGGGTCATGGAAGGAGGAAAGGGCCCAGGGAGGGAACCCTGCAAAGTGGCAGTTTGTGACCCAGGTCAAGTCCGACTGACCTAGGCTGGGCTTTCACAATGTGACCCTGGGTTAATTATAGGACATTCACAACCCTCAGTCTAGCCTGCTGCCCCTCTGTAAAGTGTGAGAACTGATAGTGAGCTCCAAATTACAGGGTGATTTGTATAAAATGGAGACATTGCTCAAGTATTTAGTATATTATGAAGCACAGAGAGTGTTTTTGCCAATGGTAGCTGGCAAAAACTAGGAGAATGCTGATAGGAAGGGGGGCAGCTATGAGAAGAGACCATAGAGGGAGTTCCCATCCTTTCCCTGTTTGGCTTTGTGTTTGGCTGTGCACCTCCCTGTCCGCTTTGCACATAGATATCAAGCACCAAACACTTGTCTGGAGCTTGTGGGTCCTGCAGTGTGGTGGGTATACTGGAATAAGGATTGCATTTCAATCCTTGTTTTTCATGACCTTTGAAACCTCATTCTTGTCTTAAGTTCCCATTTTCTGAGGGAGACCTGACGTCATCCACCTGTTTACACCAAACTATAAGAAATTCTGGGTTAGGAATGCTTAACAATAGTGGAGGCTTACTATACATTTAATCTTCATTTGTAGTAACAGTATCAAATGACCCAGAAGCAAACCAGAGTCACTGCTGAAGAAGCTACAGGCTTGGGTTTGTGGAGAAGGGTAGGGCAGCAGTGAGGATAGAGGAAGGGGAGGTTCTGTTTCTCCGTCATCGGTCTGGTCCGTTTGAACTCAGAGGAGCTTAGGTGGATGGAAGGCAGATCTGATCACAGAGTTACTTTGTAAGCCTTGGGTTAGGCGTGGTTGAACAGGGTGCTGTGCTCTGGTGGCTGTGACTCAGGACTGGGAGGGATATTCTTCCTCTGGTTCCGAAAGCAGGAAGAAGTCTTCTGAGCAAGATTTGCTGGCTGGTGGCATCTTAGGGGCTCTGCCTGGGGCTGGAGTCACTGGCAGGGGGACCACTGTAGCTCGAACTCGGTTGGTTGGCAGCTGCCCAGCCTGCAAATTGAGCAACTAGAGCCTTTTCTGAAGACTGTACAGTTTTTAAGTCCATATCCTGTCATACTGCTGGGCATTTTGTCCTTTTGCACATCCTGTCTTTGGAGTGTCACCCTCAGGGCTCAGGGCAGTGACTGTGGAGTCCCTGGACTGCAGCCTTTACAGAGCCTTCTCTTTGCCCAGTGTCCCTCCTCTGTCAGCTTGCCACCAAGCCAGCTTGGGTGGGCTGTCCTCTGCATTGTCACTGCACTCACTTCTAGAGGGACTGAGTTTGGAAACAACCTACTCCTGACTTGTGAGTTTGAGACCAGCCTGGGCTGCAAAGTGAGCTCAAGGCCAGCCTGAACTACAGAGGGAGACTGTCTCGAAAAGACAGGAAAAAAACATATTCCTGTAATTTTAGCTAAGACAATAATGGGAGTTTTCTAAATGCTTTGCTCCTGGGAAATCAGCAAAAATTAAGGGCAAAAAGACGCCCAAATATTATAAAACATGAATCTCATACAAACACTTCACCTTTAACTTTTCACTTCAACCCTTGTCACCAGAGCTCTGTTTGCAAGCTACCAACCTTAGCTTCCTCTTTCTATCTGTCCAGTGAGCACAACACTTACCTTGTTGGGATGATGGGAAGATTAAATGGGGAAAATATGTAAAAGCACTGATCATAAAACCTGGCAAATGAGTGGTGCTCTGTAAATGTCACTTCCCTTTTCCTTGGGCAGTTCTTTTCTTGCCATCCTACTGGCTTTTTCTTTCAGGAGGGCCGTGGTTGTGGTGCCAGCACAGCCAGTTTGCTTAATGAGACAATGGTCTGTTAAATGACTAATGAGTTACCATAAAGACTACACTGGAGACACCTAAGCACAATCATATGTAAATACCTAAGCAGACAATCCTCCCTACCCTGAAGGACTGATTTCGCTGGTCTTTTGTTCCCCTCCTCATTGGCATGGTTCTCCTTGAGACTTGCAGTGGGGTCAGAGAGAAGGATGCTTCCTTGGGCAAGACACTGCTGGGCCCGGGTGGAGGGCTGGGGGGTAAAGGGAAGGGAGGGGTGTGAGAAAGTGGAGGGTAGGAGAGCTGTACCTTTCTTGGGCCCCGGCTCTCCCAGCTTGGGTGGAGCCGTCCCTGAGGCTTGGCAAAGGTGCTGCTCAGGTGTGAGTACAGGTGACTCCAAACCTGCAGGGGGTTGTAGGTGGACTCTAGCTCCAGGCCATCCAGCATGCTCTGAGGAAGAGAGGAGGAGAACCCTCAACAGGGAATTTAGGGTCACAGAACACATGTCCTGAAGAGACCGGTGAGTCTTAGAGGCTGGAGAAGGTGTTGAGACTCAGGGCTGAGTAGGACCTGTGAAATAGATGTGTCCTAGGGGTGCTTTGCCTGATTTGGAGAGCTTGTGAAGTGTTAGGCAAAAGGACAGAAATAGAGGCATCCCTGAGTGGTTAAGGCCTCTGAACACTGGCCCGAGGAAGTGTCTCACTGGCTTCTGAGAGAAGTAAGTGGGTTCAAGGGGTACAGTGTGGGCAGCAGGGGGAGGTGTGTCATCAGGATACACATAGGGTGGGGGTGCTCCAGTCTGTAAGGCCAGTACATGAAGTTCCTGGCCTGAGGTGAGCAGAGCAGAGAGGGAGGGGCACAGGAGTGCAGCATTCCTGAGCAGTCAGGTTTTCCGGCCACAGCATCCTGTGCCAGAAACCACTGGCCCCAAAGTGAGACACTGAGTGAGCCCCAGCAGCTCGTGCCCACCTCTCTGTCTCCCGGTGGCTGCCAAACTGAGAGCACAATCCCGGGCTCTGTCCTTTCTGCACGTCAGCCCACGATGCAGCAGTGATGTGGTTCCAGTTCTCCCCATCCAGAGCCTCCCCTCCCACCTTTCGTCTGGAGAAGTCAGCAGGAAATACAGAATCCAGATACAGAGAAGAGAGGCCGAGAATCTGCTTTCAGAACTGTTTACTGCTTTGTACTGGAGTCTCATTCTGAGGCTCTTCTTAATCTTTGTGCCTAGACTCAGCACGTACACACTCAAGGGTACCAAAGCAAATAAAATACCAGACACACACACACACACACACACACACACACACACACATGCACACGCACACGTGCGTGCACACAAAGACACAAAGCCATTCAAAGGTTTGTATTTCTTGGGCATCTCCTTTTACTCCCTCATGTCTCGTCTCCCTTTGCCTTCCAATCTGTCTTTTCCTTTTCCCTGTCCTCTCTAATGTACTTCTCACCCTTTTCCGACTTCAGTTACTTCTCTGTGGTAGAATTGCAGGTGGGAAGAGAGACAATAGATGCAGAGACAAAACCAGTCAAAATAAGCAAAACCTGGAGCTGGTCCTACCTGCGCTACCATTCTCTCTTGCTTGCTACCTGCTTTCCCTTCTGGGACGTGTCTCCTTTCCTCCTTCACAGTTACCCACCCCTGGTGCTCATTTTAGTCAGATTTCAGGTGTGTGTGTGTGTGTGTGTGTGTGTGTGTGTGTGTGTGTACACGTGGTCTTACACTCTTTCCGGATGGTACTAATTCTTAGTCATTCACTTATACCACTGATGTTTTTTCCTCCGTTATCTCTTCCCAAGCCTTATTTCCTTCAAGTCAACTTTCTATCTTAATCTAACAGGCTGGTGACTTCCTCTCACCAGCCATTTCCTGTCCCCTGGGATGACTCCTCCTCTCCCCTCCCTCCTCCCCCAATCCATTCCTTCTGGGTTTATTGCTCTCCCTTTTCTCTATCTATCCCCAAAGACTTGGGCTCCACTTACCTCCACAATCTTAAGGCTGTCTTCAGGTGGGTCATCAGGCAGCGGGGGAAAGGGGCAGGGTAGCATCAGTTCCCGAGTGGCTACTGCCTTCACCAGAAGTGTGAGGGAGCATGATGGTATAATCACATAGAAACTACTGGCAAGGACTCTCTGGCTGTGTCTTAGGCTTGTGGGTTCCCCTTTGGCCAACAGCAGCCATTCTCTTTTCTGAAACAAGAACATACATAAATATTGGTTCATATCAGTGTTTGGTTTGTTTCGAGGATTACTCCCATTGAGGCTTCCCTGAGCTTCTCTTGAGTGTTGAGAAGGACATAGCCGTTTTACTTAGGCCTTGGTAGGGAGGGGCTGTCTGCCTGAACCACAAATGTCGCAAGGTACTACTCTTCTTTCCTGTCCGGAATGTGCCAGAGAGAGAATACACAAAACGATTAACAATGGAGACACAAATTAGAAATACTCTTTAATGTGAAGTTGGTGTGCATTCCATGTACTCTGTTCAGTGGTGAATGAGGAGTTTATTTATTTATTTATTTATTTATTTATTTATTTATTTTAAGGAGGAGAGGTTTATTTAGCTCACATTTTTTAGAGGTTTCAGTCCATAATTGGCTGGCTCCAGGGCATGGTGATTTGGCAGAAGGGAATTCCAGAGGAGAAACAGTTCATGGTGGCAGAAGACAGCAAAAGCAAGCAAAGAAGAAAGCTGAATATAGAGTTTGAAGAATTATAATTCTATATGTATATATATATGTATATACATATATATATATATATATATATATATATATATATATGTTGAGGATAAAACCCAGGGCCCATAATGTGCTAAGCATGAATTCTACCATGAAGTTAGTCCCCACTTCCAGCCAAGAATTGTAATACTTTTTTCTTATCTTTGAGACAGGGTCTCACTATGTGGTTCAGATTGGCCTTGAATTCACTATTTCACCCAAAATGGCCACAAACTTGTGGTGAATCTCCTGACTCAGCCTCTGAGTACTGTGATCATAGGTGTGTGCCACCACACTTGGCAAGAATTGTAATTTTTAAAAATAATTTTGAAACAGAGACTTGTAGAATGTGGTATAGGAACTCAGGTTTTATTTTGAGGGCAAGAAAATCTGACTGGATTTAGAATGGGCTGACTAGGGTGTGTCCCTGGAGTGCTCAGAGAGGGTTTAAGAAGGTTGTCCAAGCAGCTTGCACAGTGAGAGGAGGAGGGGCAGGGAGAGAGGAGCGCTTTGGTAAAATACGGCTGTGTAGGTCAGGCTGTGATCTGAGTCACAGAACAAAGTGAAAAACAGAGTGGCTCTGTGAATGAATTAGGGGAGTACTGCATAGCATAGAGATGACAGAGGTTAGTGCATACGTGAGGAGAGGAGACAAGCAGCATTGTAAACAGACTTTGTAGGTTACCCTTTTGATAGGGCAAGGAAACATGGAATGAGAAAATTTTCTGTTGTAGTTTTCCAAGAAAAACCACAAAACCCCAGGAAGTAGGGAGTCAGAATGGTTAAAATCATCTGTAAATTGTATTTTCTAGCTGGGATTATCATTACAACTGGCACAAACATAACAGTCTCCCTCATATATTAGATGAAAGAAAACACACAAGCTCAACCACTGATACAAAATTTGCTTGAAAAGTTGGGAGAAATAATACTAGAAGACATAAAAAGGCACAAAGAAAAAGATTTTAAGGGGAAAGAAAAATATCAGTCTCTTACGGGAGACAACTGGAAAATGATACAGGGAGAGAGCGAACACTTGCCCTGTTAATATTTCCAGGAACAGGTGTGCATTGTTTCTGCGATTGGGAACCTCTTTGTGGGATAGGAATGGACAAGTACTTCTAAAGGTTTGGCACCTTCTCACTAAAAGGGTTTTTTTTTTTTTTTTTTTTTTTTTTTGGCAGGGTAGGGGGAAGGGTAGGTGATTTGGGCATGGGAAAATTAATCATAACCATAATTATAATAAAAATATTAATGGAATGCTTACTGGGTATCAAGGATTGTGCTTTATGGACCCTTTCATGCTTTCTTAGCATTTTGCTTATATTGAGGTATGCTGTCTTCCTGAAGAACAGGAACAAAATGTGATAGAAAGTGTTACTGATGCTTACAAAAATCCACCAAGTTGAAAATGAATTATATCGAAATCATGTATGTGTACACGGGAGTATTTCCATGGCCCAGGACATAGTCTATTTGAGCCTAAAGGGCTCACTAGGAAGTTTCAGGGTATTCCATTTTACCTGGAGCAAGTAAATTGCCATGGGGCTCAAGATTTGGACCCCCTACGCCCTTCCTTCTCTCCTCTCCTCTTGTTTCCTTTCTCTGAGACAGAGTCTCATTCTGTAGTTCACTGTGGCCTGTGCAGCCCAGGCTGGCTTTGAACTCACAATTTTATTTTATCAGCCTCCCAAGTATTGGGATTACAGGCGTGGGCCACTGTACCAGTCTATTATTATTATTTTAAGCTTCTATTTTGCACTAGTTTATGCATTTGTTTGTGATTGTGTTTATTAAAATTTATTGAGTGCTGATTGTGTTCCATGAAGTAAGTATAGGATTCAGGCATTGAAAAACACAAAAGAAAGCTTTTTTTTTTGTAGCAGGTATTGAACTCTGGACCTTGTGCTTGCCAGACAGGCACTTATGCTTCTGGGTCATATCCCCATGCCAGGATTCAGAAATTCATTAGAAATGTTTCTTGTCCTTGTAGAGTATATCATAAAGTAAGAGGGAAAAGCTATAAACTAATGTTTGTCAAAGACAAGGTGATTCACTTCTTTGGTTTGCCTACTGACAGGCCCAGGGAAAGCTTAGACTTGGACAAATCAGCATGGCCAATCATCATTCTAAGATTTCATTGAAATGATGCTTGGGACTAAAACAATAGCCAGAGGAAAAATGGTAGGGAGTATAGGAGGGGAAAAGAATAAAGTATGTTAAATGTATATATGGATATGCCAAAACCCACTCTTCTGTATAACTAATATGTACTAATGAAAAAGAACCAAGTGAGAGACTTGGGGTATATAACTTAGTGGTAAAGTACTTGCCTAGCATGAGCAAGGCTTTGGGTCTGATAAACACACACACACACACACACACACACACACACACACAGTTATCTACTGAAAATCTTTAATCATAAAATAACCCCAATCTTACTCATGATCTGTATGTGTGGTTCCTGCATTTGTTAGTCACAAGGTAAGAGGGAGGGGGAAAATCCAATTTCTCTTTCTCTTCCTTACATATCTTTTCTATAGATCTTGGTATGGATTGAATGTTAGTAGCCCTTCAGAACTCATAATTAAAATCCTACTCCCACCAGACATGGTGGTGCATGCCTGTAATCCCAGCACTCAGGAGGAGGATCATCAGTTTGAGGCCAGCCTTAGCTACACAGTGGTTGAAGATCAGCAAGACCCTGTCTCAAAAAAGAAAAGAAAAGAAAGCAATGCTTTAACCCACAATGTGGGAGAGAATGTTTGCCAGCTATTTCTTAAAGGACTACTATTGAGAATATATAAAGAACTAAAAAAAAAAAAAATCAGTCTTCCTAGATTTAAAGAACCCAGTCCAAAAATGGGCATCTGAGATGAAAAAACACTTCTCAAATGGACAAATACAAACAGCAAATAAATATGTGAGAAAACATTCAATATCACTTGTCATTCGAGAGACGCAAATTAAAACAATACTGAGATTCCACCTTACCCCAGAAAGAATGGCTACTATCAAGAAATCAAGCAAAGTCTGGAGGAGCTGTCAAGAAAAAGGAATCCTTCTTCACTGTTGGTGGGAGTGTAGATTGGTGCAACCACTGGGGAAATCAGTGTGGAGATGTCTTTAAAAATTGGGATCGGCAGTCTCATTTGACCCAGCTATTTTCTTTCTGGATATCTTCCCAGAAGAATTAAAAACATCATACCAAGCAATATATGTGTACCTGTGTTTTTAGCAGCACAATTTGCAGAAGCTAGATCTTGGAAACAACCTAAATGTCCATCAATTGAGGAATGGATAAAAAGATGTGATATTTTATACAATGGGTACTATTCAGCCATAAAGAAGGATAAACTTGAGAATTTTACAGGTGAATTGATGCAGCTTGAGGCCATACTCATAAGTAAAACAAATCATATTTGCATGTATAAACATTATATTATCTCACTAATGTAAGAAGCTGAAAAAATATAGTATAAATATATATAAAAACACAATATATATACCATTGTTACCTTCTAATTATTGTGATTTAAAATTTTTTTCTCTTTAAAATAAAATAGATTTGAAAAAAATATTTGAGAAAGCTCCCTTATTATGAAGGCAAAATAAAAAGACAGAAAAAAAAATGCTTTAAAAGTTCGACAGTGATTTACAGAGGCATTGGCCCAAGGCTCTGGGAGGAAGACAGGCAAATGCATTCTAGATGAACATATTTCACCTTCAATCCCAGGAGCACTGAGAGAAAATGAGAAGTATAGAAGTTGAACTTTACAGTTCCTGTTTAAGGATTTGAATTGATAGTCTGTTCCTGGTCAGTGATTAATGGACCACCGACTTGAGATGCAGGACTCAAGGCTGAAGTTCAGCTCCTGGGCTAACCTGCTAGAACAGGAGCTCGACATTTGAAAGATATGGTTAACTGCCATAGCAGGTTTTGAGGCTGAGAGAAACAGTCATGTTTGGGGATGTCCCAGATCATCAGCCTTTGGGGTCCTCAAATTGAGCAATGCATAATGACTGTAGAGGACTGTTAAGTATTTTAGAATACATTTTTGCTAATTCTAAAGAAAGGAGCATGGAATAGATGCTAAATCTATCACAAGGCAGGTGAAAAGGTTTCTATGTTTATGTCAAGAACTTTGCCACAAGCCCAGGAAACTTAGGACTTTATTAAGTGGGAGTGACTCTCTTTAGATTAACTGTGGACAGAGAGAGCTGAGTGGCATCTCACACTTCGAGGTTAGCCTGACAAAGTCAGTCTCCTCCATTCCTTCTAACTTCTAAAGCTGCACCAAGGCTGTGAAGGAAGGTGTGGCAGCCATTCACGGTTGGCTAGCCACCTCTCCCACTCCCCTCTCTCTGCCTGGCTTTTTAGTCTTTAGTTATGGTTTCAGCGGGATCACATGACCTGGATTTAAATAATGAGACAGAAGCAGAAGTTGCTAAGTGAGTCTTCTCGAAAAG